CCAGAGAATTGTTACTCAGGGACAGACAGAATTGTTACTGAGTGCCAGAGAATTGTTACTCAGGGCCACAGACAGAATTGTTACTGAGTGCCACAGAATTGTTACTCAGGGACAGACAGAAAACTTTACTTAGGGCCAGAGAATTGTTACTCAGGGACAGACAGAATTGTTACTAGGGTGCCAGAGAAGAATTGTTACTCAGGGACAGACAGAATTGTTACTGAGTGCCAGAGAATTGTTACTCAGGGCCACAGAAAATTGTTACTTAGGGCCACAGAATTTTTTACTCAGGGACAGACAGAATTGTTACTGAGTGCCAGAGAATTGTTACTCAGGGACAGACAGAATTGTTACTGAGTGCCAGAGAATTGTTACTCAGGGCCACAGAAACTTTACTTAGGGCCACAGAATTTTTACTCAGGGACAGACAGAATTGTTACTGAGTGCCAGAGAATTGTTACTCAGGGACAGACAGAATTGTTACTGAGTGCCAGAGAATTGTTACTCAGGGCCACAGAAACTTTACTTAGGGCCACAGAATTTTTACTCAGGGACAGACAGAATTGTTACTGAGTGCCAGAGAATTGTTACTCAGGGACAGACAGAATTGTTACTGAGTGCCAGAGAATTGTTACTCAGGGACAGACAGAATTGTTACGGAGTGCCAGAGAATTGTTACTCAGGGCCACAGAAATTTTACTTAGGGCCACAGAATTTTTACTCAGGGACAGACAGAATTGTTACTGAGTGCCAGAGAATTGTTACTCAGGGACAGACAGAATTGTTACAGTGCCAGAGAATTGTTACTTACTTAGGGCCACAGAATTTTTACTCAGGGACAGACAGAATTGTTACTGAGTGCCAGAGAATTGTTACTCAGGGACAGACAGAATTGTTACTGAGTGCCAGAGAATTGTTACTCAGGGCCACAGAAACTTTACTTAGGGCCACAGAATTTTTACTCAGGGACAGACAGAATTGTTACTGAGTGCCAGAGATTGTTACTCAGGGACAGACAGAATTGTTACTGAGTGCCAGAGAATTGTTACTCAGGGACAGACAGAATTGTTACGGAGTGCCAGAGAATTGTTACTCAGGGCCACAGACAGAATTGTTACTTAGGGCCACAGAATTTTTTACTCAGGGACAGACAGAATTGTTACTGAGTGCCAGAGAATTGTTACTCAGGGACAGACAGAATTGTTACTGAGTGCCAGAGAATTGTTACTCAGGGCCACAGAAATTTTACTTAGGGCCACAGAATTTTTACTCAGGGACAGACAGAATTGTTACTGAGTGCCAGAGAATTGTTACTCAGGGACAGACAGAATTGTTACTGAGTGCCCAGAGAATTGTTACTCAGGGCCACAGAAACTTTACTTAGGGCACACAGAATTTTTACTCAGGGACAGACAGAATTGTTACTGAGTGCCAGAGAATTGTTACTCAGGGACACATAATCGTTGAATTAAAGAGTATGTCAGACAACATGCAGAGGAGTGGCAGAGGAGGCAATTTTTTAGGAGCGAGCAGACGTGGCAGCAGCAGAGGAAGGGGTCGAGGCAGCACTATTCGCAGCCAGAGGCCAGTGCTCCCGGTGTCATCCAGCGGTCGTGTCTCCACCGACAACCCTGCCGTCATTGATTGGTTGGCTCGGTCGTCTTCCTCTTCCCAGGTCACCTCTGACACCTACAGCCAACGGTCGGTGGGTACGTCAGACACAACCGTTAGTTGGCATGGCCCGGGAGCAAGCCCACTGAAATCACATGTCCTCTACCTGCCCCTGTCCTTTGCTGTTCCCTCACCAAGCGAAGTATCGCATGCTGTGGGCTCAGCCCCACTGTACAGTGAGGAAGAGCTAACAGAGGGCGGTCAGGAACGGGGGGAGACATCGGCCTTTTCAGCAGCCAGGCGAAGAAGTACTGGCGAGGAGAGTGGCTCTGTAGCCGGTCTAGAGACAGGTCTGTCTCCTGACCCAGACGCAGCCGAGGGGGCTAGTAGTGAGGCGGAGACCGTACCTGATGATGAGGAGAGTGATCGCACTTGGCTGCCTCGTCGTCATCAGGCAATTTCTTCCGCATCATCAGGAGAAGAGGGTGCCAGCTTGGCAGCGAGCGAAAAACAGTCGGTGGGTTGCCCAGGAGGCAGCAGGGTCGCATCAGTGTCAGTGTGGAGCCAAACGGCCACGGAGTAGAGTAGAGCACCAGCTCCACTGCAGCCTACCACCACGGCCAGTAGTGGTGCCGGTGCGCACGGAGGAAGTAGCAGTCAGCCAGTGAGGAGTAGCGGGGGGCAAAGTTTCCTACTCGGTGGTGTGGCAATTTTTCGTCAAGCCGCCCGAGGAAGTAAACGTAGCCGTATGTCGACTATGTGGCCAGAAATGCAAGCGTGGCCAGGGGGCCCATGTTGGGACTACAGCGTTGCGTCAGCATATGCAGCGTCACCATTCGTTGGCCTGGGAAAACCGTGATAAAGATACGGCGGTTCTGCCTGCCCCAGCCCCCGCTCCATCACCCTCCGTTACTTGCTCCGTCACCCGACGTCGTCAATCACCCTCTATCAGCCAGTCAAGGCTCCAACACCTCTGCTGAGGGGAGTTGTCGCTCGTTGGCATCTTCCGCTCGTTCAGATGCTCCTTCTCCTGCTACTCCTCTTCTCGGATTCCGTCAACAGTCTTTCTTGGAATCCGTTTCCAAGAGACAACAGTTTGCGAGCACGCACCCGACGGTGCAAAAGCTGAACGTCCTCCTGTCCAAGTTGCTGGTGCTGCAGTCCCTCCCTTTCCAACTGGTGGACTCAGCACCTTTCCGAGAAATGATGGCTTGTGCGCGCGCCGCGGTGGAGAGTGCCAAGCCGTCATTTCTTTGCCCAAAAGGCAGTGCCAGCCCTGCATTCACATGTAGAAGAGATGGTGGGCCAGTCTTTGAGCATGTCGGTCTCTGCCAAAGTGCACGGCAGCGCCGACGTGTGGAGCTGTAACTACGGTCAGGGACAGTACATGTCATTTACGGCCCACTGGGTGAACGTGGTGCCGGCACAGCCGCACCAGCAACTTGGACAGGTCACGACGCTTTTGCCTCCACGTTTGCACGTCCTTGGTCCAGCAAACATGTCCGCCTCTACCACCTCTTTTTCCGCCGTGTCCTCAGCCGCCCCCCCGTGCCAAGTCCCATTACCCGACCGGCATATCACATGTGCAGGGCGCAACGGTGTCACGCTGTGCTGCACCTGGTATGCCTTGGCGAACGTAGTCACACAGGGGAGGAACTGCTGAGTGTAATGAACAGAGAAATCGACAGATGGCTGTCTCCGCGCAAACTTAAAATCGGAACCATGTTGACCGACAACGGAAAGAACATGGTGTCTGCTCTGCGTCAAGGAAGGTTGTGCCATGCGCCATGCATGGCTCACGTGTTCAATCTGGTTGTCAAGCGGTTCCTAAAATCCACCATCCCACTGCAAGACATCCTTAAATGTCACGTAAACTGTGCATGCATTTCAGCCATTCCTACACCGCAAAGAACACCCTCATTGAGCTGCAGCGGCAGAACGGAATTCCACAGCATCGCCTGATCTGCGACGTTGCAACAAGGTGGAATTCAACCCTACACATGTTAGACCGCCTTTACGAGCAGCGAAAGGCCATCACCGATTTCCTATGTTACAAGCGGATAAAGGTACTCCCCTGTGTAACTTAGATGTCAGCCATTGGCAGCTCATGCGTGACACCTGCCGCTTGCTCAGGCCCTTTGAGGAGGCCACGCTATTCGTGAGTCGGCAGGACTATGGGATGAACGACGTCATTCCTCTGTTGCACGTCCTGGAACAAATGCTGTTAACAATGGCTGGTCAGGGTGCGGTAGACGTGGCGCACAGATCTCAACGCCACATGACCCCTGTGGGGGCAGGACAGGAAGAAGAGGAGGAGGTAGAGGAGGACATTTGTGCTCAGGAATTATGAGTGAAATGGGTGGTTTTTCCACTCAGCGGACAGGAGTGGAGGAGCAGGAGCATCTGGTAGAGGAGGAGGAGGAGGAGACAGAGGACCCAGACGCACCGTGGCAGTATGCTGTGGAGATGGAGGCAGGGAGTCCCTCGCATTCCTTGGCACAAATGGCCCATAGCATGCTCGGTTGCTTGCGTAGCGACAGCCGAATAATAACCATCAGACAGAGGGATGACTTTTGGCTGTCCACCTTGTTGGACCCTCGCTACCGGTCCAAAATGGTGGCCTTTTTCACACCTGCTGAGAGGGAGGCCAAAATTACGTACTATAAAAACCACCTATGTAGTCAGTTGGTCTCTGCCTTTGTGCGCCAACGTCCATCCTCAGACACTGTGGGCCCTGTGCGCTCGCGTTCCGCTGGCATGGCAGCAGGGGAGGGGTGGGGTGGTAGGAGCAGTGGCAGCTCCACCAGCAGCGGCTGCCTCAGTCTGCAGTCGATGATGAGTAGCTTTCTTCACCAGCGCAGTGAGGAAACTACTAACCAGCGCAGCAGCAGCAGCAGCAGCATCAGGTGGACCTGGAGCAGGAGCTCAAACAACAGGCTTGGGCCTACTTGGACAGCACCCTGCCAACCGAGGTAGACAATCCCCTTGACTACTGGGCAACGAAACTTGACCTTTGGCCCCAACTAGCTGAATTTGCCCTTGAAAGGCTGTCATGCCCGGCCAGTAGCGTGGCATCGGAGCGCGTGTTTAGTGCGGCAGGAGGTATTGTAACTCCGCGGAGGACACGACTGTCCACCCAAAGTGTGGAGAGACTCACGTTTGTGAAAATGAATCAGGCGTGGATTAGTCTGGATTTCAAACCACCAGTTCCTGACACAACTGACTAAATCCGCCATGAATCATGCCTCAAACATGTGCCACTTTCAGGTCTCCTCACACACTGCTGGTGTGTTGAATTTTTTGACATAGGGTGCTGGCAGATTACGGGCCTCCTATAGCTGCTGCCAGGCCCCCCTAATCTGCCATAGGCCCCTATATATACCGCCTCCTCATGCTGCTGCCAAGTCCAGAGTCTCTCATGGGTCCCTGTACGGCCTCCCATTGCTGCTGTCTCCATCGCCACACTCTGCCATGTGCCACTTTCAGGTCTCTTCACACTGCTTGTGTTTTCAATTTTTTGACATAGGGTGCTGGCAGATTACGGGCCTCCCATAGCTGCTGCCAGGCCCCTAATCTGCCATGGGCCCCTATATACCGCCTCCTCATGCTGCTGCCAAGTCCAGAGTCTCTCATGGGTCCCTGTACGGCCTCCCATTGCTGCTGTCTCCATCGCCACACTCTGCCATGTGCCACTTTCAGGTCTCTCTCACACACTGCTGTTGTGTTGAATTTTTTGACATAGGGTGCTGGCAGATTACGGGCCTCCCATAGCTGCTGCCAGGCCCCTAATCTGCCATGGGCCCCTATATACCGCCTCCTCATGCTGCTGCCAAGTCCAGAGTCTCTCATGGGTCCCTGTACGGCCTCCCATTGCTGCTGTCTCCATCGCCACACTCTGCCATGTGCCACTTTCAGGTCTCTTCACACTGCTTGTGTTTTCAATTTTTTGACATAGGGTGCTGGCAGATTACGGGCCTCCCATAGCTGCTGCCAGGCCCCTAATCTGCCATGGGCCCCTATATACCGCCTCCTCATGCTGCTGCCAAGTCCAGAGTCTCTCATGGGTCCCTGTACGGCCTCCATTGCTGCTGCTGTCTCCATCGCCACACTCTGCCATGTGCCACTTTCAGGTCTCCTCACACACTGCTGTGTGTGTTGAATTTTTTGACATAGGGTGCTGGCAGATTACGGGCCTCCCATAGCTGCTGCCAGGCCCCTAATCTGCCATGGGCCCCTATATACCGCCTCCTCATGCTGCTGCCAAGTCCAGAGTCTCTCATGGGTCCCTGTACGGCCTCCCATTGCTGCTGTCTCCATCGCCACACTCTGCCATGTGCACTTTCAGGTCTCTTCACACTGCTTGTGTGTTCAATTTTTTGACATAGGGTGCTGGCAGATTACGGGCCTCCCATAGCTGCTGCCAGGCCCCTAATCTGCCATGGGCCCCTATATACCGCCTCCTCATGCTGCTGCCAAGTCCAGAGTCTCTCATGGGTCCCTGTACGGCCTCCCATTGCTGCTGTCTCCATCGCCACACTCTGCCATGTGCCACTTTCAGGTCTCTCACACACTGCTGGTGTGTTGAATTTTTTGACATAGGGTGCTGGCAGATTACGGGCCTCCCATAGCTGCTGCCAGGCCCCTAATCTGCCATGGGCCCCTATATACCGCCTCCTCATGCTGCTGCCAAGTCCAGAGTCTCTCATGGGTCCCTGTACGGCCTCCCATTGCTGCTGTCTCCATCGCCACACTCTGCCATGTGCCACTTTCAGGTCTCCTCACACTGCTTGTGTTTTGAATTTTTTTTGACATAGGGTGCTGGCAGATTACGGGCCCTCCCATAGCTGCTGCCAGGCCCCTAATCTGCCATGGGCCCCTATATACCGCCTCCTCATGCTGCTGCCAAGTCCAGAGTCTCTCATGGGTCCCTGTACGGCCTCCCATTGCTGCTGTCTCCATCGCCACACTCTGCCATGTGCCACTTTCAGGTCTCTTCACACTGCTGTGTGTGTTGAATTTTTTGACATAGGGTGCTGGCAGATTACGGGCCTCCCATAGCTGCTGCCAGGCCCCTAATCTGCCATGGGCCCCTATATACCGCCTCCTCATGCTGCTGCCAAGTCCAGAGTCTCTCATGGGTCCCTGTACGGCCTCCCATTGCTGCTGTCTCCATCGCCACACTCTGCCATGTGCCACTTTCAGGTCTCTTCACACTGCTGTGTTTTCAATTTTTTGACATAGGGTGCTGGCAGATTACGGGCCTCCCATAGCTGCTGCCAGGCCCCTAATCTGCCATGGGCCCCTATATACCGCCTCCTCATGCTGCTGCCAAGTCCAGAGTCTCTCATGGGTCCCTGTACGGCCTCCCATTGCTGCTGTCTCCATCGCCACACTCTGCCATGTGCCACTTTCAGGTCTCTTCACACTGCTGTGTGTTTCAATTTTTTGACATAGGGTGCTGGCAGATTACGGGCCTCCCATAGCTGCTGCCAGGCCCCTAATCTGCCATGGGCCCCTATATACCGCCTCCTCATGCTGCTGCCAAGTCCAGAGTCTCTCATGGGTCCCTGTACGGCCTCCCATTGCTGCTGTCTCCATCGCCACACTCTGCCATGTGCCACTTTCAGGTCTCCTCACACACTGCTGGTGTGTTGAATTTTTTGACATAGGGTGCTGGCAGATTACGGGCCTCCCATAGCTGCTGCCAGGCCCCTAATCTGCCATGGGCCCCTATATACCGCCTCCTCATGCTGCTGCCAAGTCCAGAGTCTCTCATGGGTCCCTGTACGGCCTCCCATTGCTGCTGTCTCTCCATCGCCACACTCTGCCATGTGCCACTTTCAGGTCTCTCACACACTGCTGTGTGTTTTCAATTTTTTGACATAGGGTGCTGGCAGATTACGGGCCTCCCATAGCTGCTGCTGCCAGGCCCCTAATCTGCCATGGGCCCCTATATACCGCCTCCTCATGCTGCTGCCAAGTCCAGAGTCTCTCATGGGTCCCTGTACGGCCTCCCATTGCTGCTGTCTCCATCGCCACACTCTGCCATGTGCCACTTTCAGGTCTCCTCACACACTGCTGTGTGTTGAATTTTTTGACATAGGGTGCTGGCAGATTACGGGCCTCCCATAGCTGCTGCCAGGCCCCTAATCTGCCATGGGCCCCTATATACCGCCTCCTCATGCTGCTGCCAAGTCCAGAGTCTCTCATGGGTCCCTGTACGGCCTCCCATTGCTGCTGTCTCCATCGCCACACTCTGCCATGTGCCACTTTCAGGTCTCTTCACACTGCTGTGTTTTCAATTTTTTGACATAGGTGCTGGCAGATTACGGGCCTCCCATAGCTGCTGCCAGGCCCCTAATCTGCCATGGGCCCCTATATACCGCCTCCTCCTCATGCTGCTGCCAAGTCCAGAGTCTCTCATGGGTCCCTGTACGGCCTCCCATTGCTGCTGTCTCCATCGCCACACTCTGCCATGTGCCACTTTCAGGTCTCCTCACACACTGCTGGTGTGTTGAATTTTTTGACATAGGGTGCTGGCAGATTACGGGCCTCCCATAGCTGCTGCCAGGCCCCTAATCTGCCATGGGCCCCTATATACCGCCTCCTCATGCTGCTGCCAAGTCCAGAGTCTCTCATGGGTCCCTGTACGGCCTCCCATTGCTGCTGTCTCCATCGCCACACTCTGCCATGTGCCACTTTCAGGTCTCTTCACACTGCTTGTGTTTTCAATTTTTTGACATAGGGTGCTGGCAGATTACGGGCCTCCCATAGCTGCTGCCAGGCCCCTAATCTGCCATGGGCCCCTATATACCGCCTCCTCATGCTGCTGCCAAGTCCAGAGTCTCTCATGGGTCCCTGTACGGCCTCCCATTGCTGCTGTCTCCATCGCCACACACTCTGCCATGTGCCACTTTCAGGTCTCCTCACACACTGCTGTGTGTGTGTTGAATTTTTTGACATAGGGTGCTGGCAGATTACGGGCCTCCCATAGCTGCTGCCAGGCCCCTAATCTGCCATGGGCCCCTATATATATACCGCCTCCTCATGCTGCTGCCAAGTCCAGAGTCTCTCATGGGTCCCTGTACGGCCTCCCATTGCTGCTGTCTCCATCGCCACACTCTGCCATGTGCCACTTTCAGGTCTCTTCACACTGCTGTGTGTTGAATTTTTTGACATAGGGTGCTGGCAGATTACGGGCCTCCCATAGCTGCTGCCAGGCCCCTAATCTGCCATGGGCCCCTATATACCGCCTCCTCATGCTGCTGCCAAGTCCAGAGTCTCTCATGGGTCCCTGTACGGCCTCCCATTGCTGCTGTCTCATCGCCACACTCTGCCATGTGCCACATTCAGGTCTCTTCACACTGCTTGTGTTTTCAATTTTTTGACATAGGGTGCTGGCAGATTACGGGCCTCCCATAGCTGCTGCCAGGCCCCTAATCTGCCATGGGCCCCTATATACCGCCTCCTCATGCTGCTGCCAAGTCCAGAGTCTCTCATGGGTCCCTGTACGGCCTCCCATTGCTGCTGTCTCCATCGCCACACTCTGCCATGTGCCACTTTCAGGTCTCTCACACACTGCTGTTGTGTTGAATTTTTTGACATAGGGTGCTGGCAGATTACGGGCCTCCCCATAGCTGCTGCCAGGCCCCTAATCTGCCATGGCCCCTATATACCGCCTCCTCATGCTGCTGCCAAGTCCAGAGTCTCTCATGGGTCCCTGTACGGCCTCCCATTGCTGCTGTCTCCATCGCCACACTCTGCCATGTGCCACTTTCAGGTCTCTCACACACTGCTGTGTGTTTGAATTTTTTGACATAGGGTGCTGGCAGATTACGGGCCTCCCATAGCTGCTGCCAGGCCCCTAATCTGCCATGGGCCCCTATATACCGCCTCCTCATGCTGCTGCCAAGTCCAGAGTCTCTCATGGGTCCCTGTACGGCCTCCCATTGCTGCTGTCTCCATCGCCACACTCTGCCATGTGCCACTTTCAGGTCTCTCACACACTGCTGTGTGTTGAATTTTTTGACATAGGGTGCTGGCAGATTACGGGCCTCCCATAGCTGCTGCCAGGCCCCTAATCTGCCATGGGCCCCTATATACCGCCGCCTCCTCATGCTGCTGCCAAGTCCAGAGTCTCTCATGGGTCCCTGTACGGCCTCCCATTGCTGCTGTCTCCATCGCCACACTCTGCCATGTGCCACTTTCAGGTCTCTTCACACTGCTTGTGTGTTGAAATTTTTTGACATAGGGTGCTGGCAGATTACGGGCCTCCCATAGCTGCTGCCAGGCCCCTAATCTGCCATGGGCCCCTATATACCGCCTCCTCATGCTGCTGCCAAGTCCAGAGTCTCTCATGGGTCCCTGTACGGCCTCCCATTGCTGCTGTCTCCATCGCCACACTCTGCCATGTGCCACTTTCAGGTCTCTTCACACTGCTTGTGTTTTCAATTTTTTGACATAGGGTGCTGGCAGATTACGGGCCTCCCATAGCTGCTGCCAGGCCCCTAATCTGCCATGGGCCCCTATATACCGCCTCCTCATGCTGCTGCCAAGTCCAGAGTCTCTCATGGGTCCCTGTACGGCCTCCCATTGCTGCTGTCTCCATCGCCACACTCTGCCATGTGCCACTTTCAGGTCTCTCTCACACACTGCTGGTGTGTTGAATTTTTTGACATAGGGTGCTGGCAGATTACGGGCCTCCCATAGCTGCTGCCAGGCCCCTAATCTGCCATGGGCCCCTATATACCGCCTCCTCATGCTGCTGCCAAGTCCAGAGTCTCTCATGGGTCCCTGTACGGCCTCCCATTGCTGCTGTCTCCATCGCCACACTCTGCCATGTGCCACTTTCAGGTCTCTCACACTGCTGTGTTTTTCAATTTTTTGACATAGGGTGCTGGCAGATTACGGGCCTCCCATAGCTGCTGCCAGGCCCCTAATCTGCCATGGGCCCCTATATACCGCCTCCTCATGCTGCTGCCAAGTCCAGAGTCTCTCATGGGTCCCTGTACGGCCTCCCATTGCTGCTGTCTCCATCGCCACACTCTGCCATGTGCCACTTTCAGGTCTCTTCACACTGCTGTGTGTGTTGAATTTTTTGACATAGGGTGCTGGCAGATTACGGGCCTCCCATAGCTGCTGCCAGGCCCCTAATCTGCCATGGGCCCCTATATACCGCCCTCCTCATGCTGCTGCTGCCAAGTCCAGAGTCTCTCATGGGTCCCTGTACGGCCTCCCATTGCTGCTGTCTCCATCGCCACACTCTGCCATGTGCCACTTTGTGCCACTTTCAGGTCTCCTCACACACTGCTGGTGTGTGTTGAATTTTTTGACATAGGGTGCTGGCAGATTACGGGCCTCCCATAGCTGCTGCCAGGCCCCTAATCTGCCATGGGCCCCTATATACCGCCTCCTCATGCTGCTGCCAAGTCCAGAGTCTCTCTCATGGGTCCCTGTACGGCCTCCCATTGCTGCTGTCTCCATCGCCACACTCTGCCATGTGCCACATTCAGGTCTCTTCACACTGCTGGTGTGTGTTTCAATTTTTTGACATAGGGTGCTGGCAGATTACGGGCCTCCCATAGCTGCTGCCAGGCCCCTAATCTGCCATGGGCCCCTATATACCGCCTCCTCATGCTGCTGCCAAGTCCAGAGTCTCTCATGGGTCCCTGTACGGCCTCCCATTGCTGCTGTCTCCATCGCCACACTCTGCCATGTGCCACTTTCAGGTCTCCTCACACACTGCTGTTGTGTTGAATTTTTTGACATAGGGTGCTGGCAGATTACGGGCCTCCCATAGCTGCTGCCAGGCCCCTAATCTGCCATGGGCCCCTATATACCGCCTCCTCATGCTGCTGCCAAGTCCAGAGTCTCTCATGGGTCCCTGTACGGCCTCCCATTGCTGCTGTTTCCATCGCCACACTCTGCCATGTGCCACATTCAGGTCTCTTCACACTGCTGGTGTGTTGAATTTTTTGACATAGGGTGCTGGCAGATTACGGCCCTCCCATAGCTGCTGCCAGGCCCCTAATCTGCCATGGGCCCCTATATACCGCCTCCTCATGCTGCTGCCAAGTCCAGAGTCTCTCATGGGTCCCTGTACGGCCTCCCATTGCTGCTGTCTCCATCGCCACACTCTGCCATGTGCCACTTTCAGGTCTCCTCACACACTGCTGTTGTGTTGAATTTTTTGACATAGGGTGCTGGCAGATTACGGGCCTCCTCCCATAGCTGCTGCCAGGCCCCTAATCTGCCATGGGCCCCTATATACCGCCTCCTCATGCTGCTGCCAAGTCCAGAGTCTCTCATGGGTCCCTGTACGGCCTCCCATTGCTGCTGTTTCCATCGCCACACTCTGCCATGTGCCACATTCAGGTCTCTTCACACTGCTGGTGTGTTGAATTTTTTGACATAGGGTGCTGGCAGATTACGGGCCTCCCATAGCTGCTGCCAGGCCCCTAATCTGCCATGGGCCCCTATATACCGCCTCCTCATGCTGCTGCCAAGTCCAGAGTCTCTCATGGGTCCCTGTACGGCCTCCCATTGCTGCTGCCAGGAGGCAGCAGGGTCGCAGCAGTGTCAGTGGAGGCAAACGGCCACGGAGTAGAGCACCAGCTCCACTGCAGCCTACCACCACGGCCAGTAGTGGTGCCGGTGTGCACGGAGGAAGTAGCAGTCAGCCAGTGAGGAGTAGAGGAGGCAAAGTTTCCTACTCTGCGGTGTGGCAATTTTTCGTCAAGCCGCGCCCGAGGAAGTAAACGTAGCCGTATGTCGACTATGTGGCCAGAAAGTCAAGCGTGGCCAGGGGGCCCATGTTGGGACTACAGCGTTGCGTCAGCATATGCAGCGTCGCCATTCGGTGGCCTGGGAAAACCGTGATAAAGATACGGCGGTTCTGCCTGCCCCAGCCCAGGGTTCCATTTTGTCATAGGGTGCTGGCAGATTACAGGCCTCCCATAGGTGCTGCCAGGCCCCAAATCTGCCATGGACCCCCGTACCGCCTGGTCACGCTGCTGCTGGGCCCACAGTGTGACCTGGGTCCCTGTACCGCCTCCCATTGCTCCCACTCTGCCATGTGCCACTTTCAGGTCTCCTCACACTCCTGCTGGTTTCCATTTTGTCATAGGTTGCTGTATGGCCTCCCATTGCTGCTGCCTCCACCGCCACACTGTGGCTCCAAACACTGGTTTTGGCCCCGTGACTGGCCAAATGAGTGAAGTGTGCGGTGATTCTAAGATCGACGGCACTCATCTGCATGTCATACTGAGTGACAGTATTATTTCTCTTCCCCAGCAGACTCCAAGGGCATTTAAATTAAAGGTACAGTGTTCTGCACTAATATTAAGTCTCTCTGAAGCCTAGAAACACCCTTTTTTAAGTTAAATTCACAGCGAATTTATTCGACTCGAATCGAATATTGTCCACGAATTCGCCGAATCAGTCGAATCGAATTTTTCATTTCTTCGCTCATCTCTAAAAATAATACACAATGTTGGTTTGATATTGGTTTTTATTACTCCACTTATTAGTGTATTTAGTAACATTTTGCTCACCTGCTTTGAAGCCATGGCACTTAATTTTTTTTTTCTTTTGAGTTATTATTTAATCTCCATTTAACTTAATGATATACCTACTATAAATAGGTCTATCCGCTAACTGCTGACTATAGCCATTATTTTTTTTTCTTTAAGAGATTTACATTCTTTAAATTTTTTAAAGAGATAAATGTGCAAGAGTAGCTTAAACGAAATCAATCTAACCAATGCATTGAAAAATAATTTTTGAACTGGGCCAAAGCAATCTGCAAAACACTTGTCAAAAGAGTGAATTTTAGTCCTGTTTCCTTTACTTATTATGCCCTGCTTGCCTATGTTAGATATCCCCCCTCCCTGTATTACCAAATTCTGCCTAATTAAGTAGTTATAGGCTACTCTGAGCCAGGGGCGGACTGATAACTCATGAGGCCCCCGGGCAATAGGGGATCATGGGGCCCCTGTGTCCTCGCCCACACCCAAAACAGCCTATGAAAAAGCCAATGAAAGGTACCAGGGGCATCTCATGGGGCCCCCTACTGACCCCGGGCCCTCGGGCAGTGCCCAAGAGCCTGAATGGTCAGTCCGCCCCTGCTCTGAGCTCATAGATCCAATAGAAAGTGCACACTCATAACCCCCTACAATAAAATTTTAAGTATTAATGCAAGTTCTGTTTATTTAGTAGCTTCATTTTATTTAAATAATTCTAGGGTAAAGAGAAAATGAAAAAAAAAAAATAGATAAAAATACGCATCTGCTACTAGTATTTTTTTTTTCTCCTCCTAACTCGCTTCAGCCCCTAAGTTGAAAGCCCTGTGTAAGGTCAGTGTCAGTCTGTGTTGGAACTTCCACAGTGCAAAAGACTTTGAGCTTTCCTCCCCAGTCACCAGGCATTGTTTCATGGGAATGTCACATGCTCCCCATACTCAGATGTACAAATTATTTCATCAAGACTTAATGTGGAGCTCCACCCAAAAGGAGAAGTTCCACTTTAAGCACAAATAGTGCAGCGCTCACTCAAAAATAATAATATTAAATACTAAACCACTGGGTGTGAATAAATACACTCAAAAGTGCAAAGATATTACAATAAAGTGCCAAAATGAAACAATGAAAATAAGTAAATATAATTAAATATAGTGCCACTATAAATAAAGTGACTCATAAACCGTGTATACACACAAAGAATGATGTAGACCCCTTTTAAAAAAAGGGGATATCAAAAGTGCTTATGTGCCAAATAAGTGTCCACACTTTAAAACACTCAAATAATCAAAAAGTCCATACAGCAAACAATATGTAAAGGATGCGTTCATGCAATGTGCAATGGTGCTTTGTAATTCTGTGACCGTGTCAACACACTTCTTCTATTGCGGCTAAAAATGCCTCCTCACCTCCTCCCAGTGACCCCCAGGGGCCAAACAGCTTTCAGGATCACACTGGATCCTTTACCATAAGGGCTGGTAACAATCCTCATGTAGTGGATCTCCTAAAGGGCTCCAGACAGGAAGTTTCTGTGGAACAATAGCTCACCAACACATTGAGCCAAAAAAGATCCTCTATTGTGCGGTATTTCTTTACACCAAGACTCCTTTATTTAATGAAAAAATGCCATGTATTGGATCCTTCCATTAAAAATCATATTACTTTTTTAAACAAAAAAGGACTTTTTCCATGTAGGAATTGCTTTGCCTGTATAGCCACAAAATGACAAAATATAGGCGGAAAAGCTTTGTTGCTAATTCCACCGGCCAGGAGTATACTATTGATGATTTCATTTCATGTAAGACCGAGGGGGTCGTGTATTGTTTAGAGTGCAAATGTGGACTCCAATACATAGGCAGAACCAAAAAGCCATTGTGGAAGAGACTAAGGGAGCATGTCCAAAATATTAGGAAAGGATTTCTGAAACACAGTGTCTCCAGACATTTTGCCGCATACCATAACAAGGACCCTAGTAAGATGAAATTTTGGGTTATGGAGAAATTTAAGAAACACTGGAGGGGTAGTAACAAAATTAAAGCTTTAAGTCAGGCTGAGTCCAGGTGGATATATTATATGCAAACGCAGGTCCCCAAGGGGTTGAATGTTGAATTCGACCTAAATTGTTTTATTAGTGATTTTTAATTTTATTTCTATTGTCAGGCTGGTTTTTATCTGGCTGTTTATTATATATTTTATATATATATTTCTTATTATATATTTTATATATATTTCTTATATATTTTTTATATATTGATATATATTTTTTTTATTTTGATATATGATAGGATCTATTTATTTATTCATGTACATTATTGATTATTGTTACAGTGGTCTATGTTAATGTGTGGGTATATTGCATGATAAAGTGACAGAAGTTTAAATAATACGTTTTATGGTATAAATATTTTTTAATTTTAAAGCAGGATTTCATCAACAAGAATTATTTATATATATATTCGGTTTTATATTTTATTTATTTTATTTATTGTTGATTCTGAGTGTCAGGTTAGAGGTTTTATTTATCCCCTAGTGTCCGTTTTTTATTTTTATTCTTGTTTTTTATATTTTTCATATTGAGAATATAGTGTAAATACAACACTATTTTATTGCATTTTTATTTTAATTTTATTTGTAATTAATAAAGAGGTTTATGTATTTATTTTTGGGAAGTATAGATTACCTGGCCTCCATGTAATAATTATATACTGGGTACTGTGGATTAAAATATCTTTTTCCATTCCCCACATCAAGTCGACTGTGCATTCAAATGCAAGTTGAGCTTCAATAAAATGGCCACGGTCACCACTAATTAACATGGGAGGCGTGCCATAGCTGTCACTAGTAATCAGGTCCTGTATAAAAGGAAAGAGCTGTGTTTCCATGGCGATACCCCAAGGAAGTCACGAGCAGTCTGTGACGTAACGCGTAGGTACGCCAATATGCAGCTTCCAGTGCACGGTGACACACTTCAGGCATTGGTGGCCATCTTGGTATACCCAGGAAGTCCCACACACATGCAGTATACCCATACATTGGTGAGGAGGGAGAACTGCTTGACATGTGAGTGGCATTCTTTCATTAAATAAAGGAGTCTTGGTGTAAAGAAATACTGCACAATAGAGGATCTTTTTTGGCTCACTGTGTTGGTGAGCTATTGTTCTACAGAAACTTCCTGTCTGGAACCCTTTAGGAGATCCACTGCATGAGGATTGTTACCAGCCCTTATGGTAAAGGATCCAGGGTGATCCTGAAAGCTGCTTGGCCCCTGGGGGTCACCGGGAGGAGGTGAGGAGGCATTTTAGCCGCAATAGAAGAAGTGTGTTGACACGGTCACGGTATTACAAAGCACCATTGCACATTGCATGAACGCATCCATCACATATTGTTTGCTGTATGGACTTTTTGATTATTTGAGTGTTTTAAAGTGTGGACACTTATTTGGCACATAAGCACTTTTGATATCCCCTTTTTTCAAAAGGGGTCTACATCATTCTTTGTGTGTATACACGGTTTATGAATCACTTTATTTATAGTGATTTATTATATTTAATTACTTATTTTCATTGTTTCATTTTGGCACTTTATTGTAATATCTTTGCACTTTTGAGTGTATTTATTCACACCCAGTGGTTTAGTATTTAATATTATTATTTTTGAGTGAGCGCTGCATTATTTGTGAATCATTTAACACTGTTTAGGTTCAATCAGTTTTGAGTGTTGGCAGCTTCAAGTGAGGTTACACTTTCTTTTAAGCGCACAGGAGGACCCTGGTTTATAACCACTTTAAGCACTGGTACCCCGCAGCCCATGATGAATTGCCGTCTTTTGACAGGTACCTGCTCCCACTTCCGCTTCAAACTCCTAAGCGATCAGAAGCGGAAGTTCTCATTCACCTTCTCCCTTTCACAGTCTTCTAGGACATGTGACAGGCACCAGAAGACTATGGGACCATTCACAATGCACAGTGGCTATAGCTTGAAGCTGCAAGCTGGCACAGCTAGATGCCCACAATTAAAATGTGGCACTGAGGAGAGAGGATGGTCACTGAACCTGGCTGCGGTGAGCACACCGCTAGATACTAGGACAGGTGAGTGTCTGCTTTTAAGTCAGCAGCTACAGTTTTTTTGTTATTTTTTTTTTTTTTCAGAATAGACTGGAGCTCCACTTAAGCTGGTAAACAGATGTAGCATCCTCCTAGGTAGCTAGGGGGAGCTAGAATCCAATTGTTAGCTAGGGCTGAGTAGCAGCCTGTGAGTAATAGCTAGCAAGGTTCACAATTTGGTCAGAGCTGAGAGGCTCTGCAGACCAGCCCTCTGGAATTTCCCCCCGCTCTAGAATTTTGGAGAAAAGTCTAGAAGTAATGGGCAGATCTGAGGAATGTCTGGTCTGTACTCTTAGAGGATCTTGGCCAATCCCCAAGAGGAGGCTTGGCTTGGGATCAGGACAACCTTTTAAGAGTAACTGAGCCTGCTCAGCTGCAGGAGCATTCGGGTGGAAGAGAGAGGAGAAGGATGTGAGGCTGGAAGGCAGGAGCCTGTGAGAGGGCCCAGATGGGGAGGGGTTCACCTGCAGGCAGAGGACCTTGGGAGGCTAAACACCTGGACTGTTACTGGCCCCCTGAGAGAGTACCACCTGTGTGGCAGTTAAGGAGTGGCCCAACTAGAAGGCCTGGTAGCAGCTACTGCCCCACTGGCAACACAAGAGAGTGACATAGTGAGTAAACCTGCACCCCCTGGGCCAGTAAGGGGAAAGGAGCAGTCTAGTTGAAGACTAAATCTGCTGTCTTACTCAGGACTGTTTCACACTGCAGTGGCAGGCACTGAATCCCCTGTCCAGGGATTCAGCCAGTACAGCTGGATGAGGAGAGGAGTCATCTGGGCTGAAGGGATGATACTACAGGAGATGTTGGCTAGCTCTCCAAAAGGTGAGTTTTGCTGTAAAGACTTGTATATAGTTCAGGAAGATTGTCCTCTGTTGCCATACCCTTGGGCATCCCATACACCCCTTACCCCATCCAAGTTCTAAATCCCCTAATAAAACTTCAAAACAAAGCTCAAGGACTGGTTAACTGTTTCCTGAGACATGTGTCTGAGTGAAGGAAATGCGTGTTGACTGGCTATGCAGGACTATAGAGGAAGGAGGAACCTCCTCCTCCTCTAATTGCTTTACCCTGGAACCGAAAGGATTGAATTTCGAGCAGCAGAATACATTACCACTTCCTATATATGCAATATACAGGTTATTTTTCTTGTAAAAAATATTTACTGTTTGTAAACATAACACACTTAAATGTAGGAAAATCAAGGACTTTTGTTCTGTGGCCACCCAAAAGTCTTATAAAATTAAGGAATTTATGACCTGCACCACTAAGAATGTGGTGTATCTAATGCAGTGTCCATGTGGATTCCAATATGTGGGATGCACTATATGCACATTACAAACCAGATTAAAGGAGCATATTGCCAACATTATTAAGGGTTTCCCTAATCCTAGTGTCTCTAAGC